GGTTATGTGCTACACGTGCATTGTGTGAAACACAAGTACAAAAAGGGGAACTTACGTCGCAACCAATTGCTTCGCCTTTAAGTAATTCCAATGCATCCTTACGAGTTACTAAAGCATCATTTGATGACCACACTAATGTCTCCCTACATATGAAAAAACTTACTAAATATGTCGATGAAAACACAATAAAACATCTTCATCATCCTCATCCACATCACCACCATCCCCCTCATCTCCTACTCCACCATCACTTTCACCTTCACCTTCGCCTACATCTCTATCATCCTCCTCATTCCTGCCATCCTCATCGCCGCCATCACTATCATCTTCATCATCCCCGTCATCCTCATCTCCGATATCACTATCGACATCCTCTTGCCTTCCACCGAATATTTCCCTCTTCATCTTCAAGAGAAGGTTTAATTCAACTTTCTTTTCATGGATGAGCCGATCCAAATCAGCTTCAGTGATTATCTACATGTAAACAACCCAAGCACAGTTACATTCATGAATAAAACCAACGAAAGCATAGATAATTCACCAACATCAAATAATAAGTTCTATTTTAGCAAAAAGCACATTAAATTACTATTTGAACCCACATAATAATTGGAAAAGTAACATTACATACAAATAAACCATTATACCTTTCCCTTGAATTTTGAAGAAGTAGCTTCTTTAGTGGAAGTGGCGGCTTCAGCAATCCTCTTTTGAAATTGTAGAGACCTCGAGCCCTTATGATATTGGCTAAAATTATCCGGGCCTCTAATTAAATTCTGCAATGCATTCCTCCGTAAAGGTTTTGGACACTTGTAGAAGCTTAGGATGGGTGGTAGGGATTCAGCTCCTACGCGAAGGTTTAGCTTTCCGACAAGCTCATAAAACCATATCTGTGAACAGTTGATAATTTTAGTACAATAGTAAATATGACTAAATGAACTAAATATATAAAATGAAAAATGACATAGATATAGAAAATGTTAACTTACCACCAAAACTGATGCAAAGCCCCCCATATAACCACCTCTACTTCGATTTCCCTCTGACCTCTTGGTGATGGTCTTTTTAGCCTTAACCATCTCAGTCCTTAACACACTGAACACTGCTTCAGCCCAATTGTACTCATTAAGAGTGTCCAATTTCTCCGCATATCTAAATGCAAATAAAGGGCAACCCATATTAGCTTGAGGGCATAATATAAAGCCTATGATGAAAGCCACGAGCATCTGTGGCACAAGAGGATCTCTACGCTCAGCCATCTCCTGAATAAGTTCACCCATCCTACCCCTTCTAGCACAAACAATCTTCTTCTTTTCCTCGTTACTTTTCTTCTTTCCTCTCCTAGTCCTACACTTGCTATCCTCCACGATTTCTGTCTTCGACCTAAACGATAGCACGAGCTTGTAGATTGTCTCGCGATCGCTTCTATGGAACCTCGTGTCTACAATAGATCCTCCCATCGGAAGACCCGTAATTCTTGCGACATCTTGAAGACTAAAAGAGGTCCATTTTTCTCCAATCTTGAAGCTATTTTTTTCAGCATCAAAGACTTCCGGCAAGCAATCCACTAGAACAGGGTGAATTGGAACATTAGCAACATCCAAATACCCAACGAAAGGTGTATCTCGAAGGGTTGTCCGATGATCCTCCAATGATGTAGAAGAAATATGATTTTGGAGGAGGTCCCGGAAGTAGTTAATATTTGATGGAATTCTAACCACATCCATGGTGTGCTTTTCTGCAACCAAAAAAAATTAAGCCAACGTTAGTATCATATCAATATTATACTTTTTTGAAAATGGATGCATAGTGAATATCCATTCTATCCCCGGTGAATATTTCTGTGTTGTATGCCGTATGCTCATTATACCAAACGAGGTTTTACAAGCACAATGTGCACATTTATACTGTAAACGGTGCCTAGCTTATCTTGTAGCCACTACTACTGCCTGTCCTTATGATGGCTATACTGTGACTGAAGCAAGCTCTAAGGTTTATTCTTCTTTCGTTTTTCTACTGTGACTGAAGCAAGCTCTAAGGTTTATTCTTCTTTCGTTTTTCTTTTATTTTTTACATGAGTCTGAAATTTACTTAAATTTCTTAACATCAAAACTTTCTTCTTTCGTTTTTCTTTTATTTTTTACATGAGTCTGAAATTTACTTAAATTTCTTAACATCAAAACTACAGCCTCTGGTAGAATCTAGCAAAGAACTTGTAGAGGCCATTGGCAAAGTAGTTGTACACTGGGGAGAAAGAGAGAGGGGCGTTTTGGGGTTTTAACCGTGTGGTGCTTTGGATTATTTAGTTTAAATTGCAAATTATCTTCAGTTGAATCATAAACACTCGCAAAGTAAATATAAGTTCAATGACAACCATTTGTTTCACTGCAACTATCAGCAGCAACTAGCAAAAGGGAAGCACTTTCACATAAATGACATCAACTTGCAAAATTTTGTGCTACAGAGTGGTCCAGAAGCAAGTTAATGCATCCCCATAACTGGCGTGAATTTGTGAGTCCAATCCATTCATCCAATCTACCTATCAAAATCCTGACAGCCCACTATTTCAAATTTCAAAGTAGAAGCACAGATAAGGCCTAGGTCATACAACTATAGCTCCATAATTCAAAATGCTCAACATAAGGCACATCCAACTATGAAAAACCTCAATTAGAAGAAAATATTACACAATCAAACAAATATTCATAATTTACAAAAAACCTCTAATATTCATAATTTACAAAAAAAAAAATTATGAGAATTTCTAACCTATAGACACTAAAATGAATATACAAATTACTAGCAACCCCTAGAGAATAAAAAATTTACAAAAAGATATCATACTCCCTTTAAAAGTATTGATTTAGGAAAAACTTTTCATGATCAATATTACCCATAACTTTTTTAAAAAGAACATAACTAATTAAAAATCTATTTGATTTAAAATTTACAAAAAAATAAACTTAAAGTTTAGTACATTGCAAATTACCCCTCCAAAGTTTGAAATTTTTCAATGATTTTTTATAGTTCCTTGATTTTAATGTAATTTTTTATAGTTTTTTGTATTTGTTAATTATAAAAGTTTAGGGTGTTTGTTTTTACAATTTTAAAAACTTTTGAGGATATTTCTTTTGTAGTTTTCAAAATTTTCATTGTGTTTTACTGTAATGCATAGATACATTAATTAATGATGATATTAAAGAGTAAGTCATTCTTAAGATGTATTAGGCTATAGTTAAGTGTGCAAATCACTATTCCTAAGTAGTATAGTTTATACATGTAAAATTTTTCAAATAATCTATATAGTGGTTAAAAGGTTTTTGACTTTAATGTACTATTTTTTATAAATTATATTTAATGTGAACACAATATATAATTTTAACTGTGTCATTATAATTTTAATATGTTTAATCGATTGACTATATAAATATGAGTAAAATCGAGTAAAATCACAACTAAAAGTTAATGTGAATATGAGTCAAACCACAACTAAAAGTTTAATGAACATATTGCAAGTAAATTCATATGCAAAATTCTTTTACGAATTGAATGATCACCCATCTTTTAAAGACTTCAAGATACTAATAAACAAAGATATTGTACTAGATCAATGTGTTTATAACTCACAAATAGTAGATCACGCAGCGACAGTCTGGGTTGAAGGAAACAATGACAATATTTTATTTGAAAGAGAGATTATTGTGTTGATAATCAATCTTGCAAAAAACTTTATTTTCTATTTTATTTTAATCTATTTTTATCAATTTAAATAACCATGATATTCAACCACGTGTATTGCACGTGCAATCTAACTAATAATCTGGGTTGATACTAGTATAAAAATAAAATAAAAGATAAACCTCAACCTCAACCTTTAATCTGGTATAAAATAAAATAAGCAATAGTTTGTTGGAAACAAGGGAACAGATCTTTAATCTGGTTTGATACTAGTATAAAAATAAAATAGGGTGGTTTTGATTTGGGATTTCGAATAGAAACTTTTAGTTTTTCTGTGTACGTCTTAACAATGAGATAACCTTTCATTTTGCAGAGGCTTATCAGTATCCACCTTCACCCTAAATCGTATCGGCCTCCATGATTTACTCTACCCAACCATGAATCCCTCTTCTATAGAAATTAACAAAGTTATGCTAACAACCCAATAATATCTAAGGAACATTTCTTGATTGGTTTGGTCAATAATTGACTCAGTCAAGTTAACATCAATCAAATGGCTCGTAACGAATCCTTACCATCAAGTTTGAAAATTATGAAGGCAAGGAATCCAAGCAAAGATCAATAATTTTTCCAACAACCACCGTAGACTTAATGACTTATAGAGGTGAACTGCACAAGTAGTTGATATTCATCTCAATTTCTCCTGCAAACCGCAACTTAATGTGGGGGCGGAGTGGGGCTTATCATAATGATTAGGAGTGTGGATATAAGTTCCCCATTTCTTGAGTAGTGTAGGAGAACTAAGGAGTTCTCTGCTCTGCAACTCTCTGCAATTAAAGTCTACATCTACTACGATAAAGCAAAAGCGAAGAGCTCGCTACTCATAAAAACATGGTGGTGGTCGGAGACGTGATTGTGAGCAAGATCATCGAGAAGTTGGTGGAGAATGGGTTCGAGTATGCAGCAGACCGGTATTTTGCTTGGGATACTCGGATGAAAGATGAGATTGAAAGGCTCAATGATGCTCTTCCTCGTATCCTAGCTGTCATGGAGAAGGCAGAGAGCGGGCAACAAGAAGTTACTGGAGCACTCAAGAAATGGCTGTGGCAACTAAAAGATGCTGTTTACGAGGCTGACAACGTACTTGATGAGCTTGATTACCTTAAGCTACAGAAACAAGTTAAGGAGAAAGCCTCAGGCAGCAAAGAACATGGTCATAGTGGTTAGCAATCAGATGCTCAAAAATAATTGATTGTTTTTTGAATTTAATCAATAAAAGAATATTAAATTCCCTACCAATTTCGCACGCAGGCTGGGGTAAAATGCGTGGTTTTCTCTCCGACTCTAAACGGAAAGTTAAAAAAGCTAGTAAAAGAGTCTTCAAATCTGATCCCATCCTTGAGAAAATGAGGGGGGCTGTGAAAAGGCTAGATGAAGTCGCAACGGGCGTGAGAAATTTCATCTCTACACTACAACTGCATCAACAACATCATAGTCAGAGCCCGGTTCCTACTCGTAAAACTGGACCAGCTCTAACTGAGAGAAAACTGCGTGGACGAGATAAAGAGAGGGAGGAACTGTTAGAGTGGTTGAGAAAGGATGACAGCAATACAAGTGTATCTCTTTTCTCCACTATTGGCCATGGCGGAGTGGGCAAGACCACCCTCACACAACACGTCTATAATGACGATAGCTTAACTAATTCCTTCGATTGCAAAATCTGGGTGTGTATCTCCACTCCCTTTGTTGTCGAAAAGGTCATGGCAGATATGATAGAATACGCCTCAGAAAGTACACCTAAAGTCAAGGAGCTTGCCGCTCTGCAAGAAGCTCTTAAGAAACTGGTATCGTCCAAAAAATTTCTCCTTGTCTTGGATGAGCTTGCCGCTCTGCAAGAAGCTCTTAAGAAACTGGTATCGTCCAAAAAATTTCTCCTTGTCTTGGATGGCGCATGGAATGATGACAATCGTTCTGAGTGGGATAAATTGTTTGCTCCTTTGACGAGTGGCCAAAAAGGAAGCAAAATCTTGTTAACTACTAGAAGTGTGCCTGTTGCAAAAATGGCTACTTCGGCTTTGGGGGGATCAATAAATAAGCCAATGATATTGAAACCTTTAGATGATGACAACTTCTTATCACTTTTCAACCAATATGCATTTGCTGGTGTAGACTCTTGTGATTATAGGAAGTTGGAATCCATTGGCGAGAAAATAGCAAGAAGGCTTGGGGGCTTACCATTGGCTGCAAAGACGATTGGAGCGCTATTGAATTCTAAGTTGGATGATAGTCATTGGAACAGAATTTTGCAAGCAGACAATATATCCGATCAAGCACAGCAGAGGGATGGTGTGAATGCGGTTTTGATGTTAAGCTATCACCATTTACCAATGCACTTAAGACACTGTTTTTCTTATTGCAACATCTTTCCTCAAGGTTATAGGTTCGATAAAGATGATCTAGTCTTCATGTGGATGGCTCTTGGCCTCATTCAAAAATCTTCCCAATATCCAAACGAGACACTGGAGGACACTGGAAGGGGCTACTTTGATGATTTAGTGAAACTATCATTTCTCGAACAAGGTTACTTCGTAGATGGAACCTACAACATGCATGATCTTTTGCATGAAGTGGCACGTAAAGTGTCTCATGGTGATTGCTTTAGATTTGTTGGAGACATGTCAATTGACCAGATCCCGAATACGGTACGTCATCTGTATTTTGAAACCAACAAACTTAACCTTCTTAAAGATGTGGGCAAACGGAAGAATCTCCGCACGCTTGTGTTAGCCTTCAGAGGATATGTTAATGAGCATGCTAAGGCTTTTGAAGAAGCGTTTAAGTCACTGGAAAGCATTCGGGTGCTGCGCCTAAATGTTGACGACATGAACGTATTGCCAGATGCAATTGGTAACATGAGGCATATTAGATATTTGTCGATTCGTCATGTTATTTTTCGATTACCTAGTTCGTTCTGTAGGCTTTACCACCTACAGGTCCTTGACTTTAGATTTTTTGAAGCTGTGAGTGTTCTTGGCTTGAATAATCTCATTAGTTTGAGACACCTGATACCATGTGAAGTTTACTATGAAAAAATCGAGGGGTTAGGGACGTTGACTTCACTTCAACGTTTTTCGTTCACTGCTGAAGTTTATAAATTGAGCGAATTGAAGGAGATGGAAGATTTGCGGGAACTGAAGATCCGTGGCCTTGAGAATCACAAACATCACGAGGAAGTCGGTACGATCGAGTTGCATCGTAAAAGGAACCTCCTCAAGTTAGAGCTGGTTTGGTCTGATGATAGGGGTGCGACGGATGAGTATGAATTGATGCTTGATCGCCTGCAGCCACCTGATAGCCTTAGGGGACTAACAATCGAGGGATACCAAGGCGCCAGGGCTCCATGTTGGATGGAACCGGACCTATTAATAAATCTGGAGTACATGAGCCTTGAATGTGGCAGGGCATGGAAGCACCTTCCTTCTCTCGGGAAGCTCCCGTACCTCATGGATCTGAGATTGTGGGGACTGCCAGCTCTTCAGCAAATTAATTGTGAAGGTGGCTTTCAACAACTGAAGTATTTAGATATCTCTCACTGTGAGCAATGGGAGGAGTGGTGTGGATTAGAGGCAGAGGCGGTACCCTGGTGTCCTCTGCTCAAGGAACTTGTTATCGAGTACTGTCCTAGACTGAAGGCGCTGCCCCCTCTGCCCCTCGGTCTCCAAAAATTGGTGCTGGAAGGCGTGGGGTTGTCTTGTTCCGACATCATCTCACGTCTCTCAGGGCGTTGTGGATTGAGAATTGCCCTAAGCTGAGGATGTCTCCTGACACAGTTACCCCAGTTGATTGTTTCGCTCTCCCATCACTCCGATCCCTTTGGCTTGTTGATTGTGGTGGATCTGACGGTCTCACTCCTGCGTTATTAATGCAAGGTTCCCTCACTTCTCTTTTAGCCCTTGCATTACGTGGAGCTAACCACATAACAGCCTTTCCCTTCGAAGTGGAGTGTAGAAGATTTACTTCACTGAGGGTGTTGAGACTGACAGGGTGTGATGAGCTGGCATCAGTGGAGTGTCCCAAGCTTGTGCAAGCAGCTGCAGCGGCAACTCCAGCATCAATAATCAAGCGGGAAGAGGAGCAGGGGTTCACATCGACTGTTGAAGAACTTGAAATCGATGACCCGTTCCTGCTCCACGTAGAGCCATTGAGAAAACTCACGTCTGTCAGGCGGCTAGAAATAGGAGATGGTAGTCATCTGGAGGCTGCTCTCGCGGAGCCATGGCTGTTACAGAATTCAACTTCACTGCGAAGTCTCCATCTGTGGCGTAAAGCAAAGATCTTGCCTTCTAGCCTCCAAACTCTCTCTTCCCTCGAGTACTTGACACTTGGTGAAGCTTGTGATCTCCAATCGCTGCCACAACTACCTCTTTCTCTGCGAACGCTGATGATCGGGGGCTGCAACGAGACGCTGAAGGAGCGATGCCGGGAGAATGAAGGTGCTGATTGGCCCAACATCCGACACATCCCTGACATCGATATTGATTAGCGGTTCGGTAAAATCTCTCTTCCTCATCTGATGTTGTATGGCATTTTTATGGATAGCTCTGTAATATCCCTAATTTCCTATTGGTAATAAGTCTTATGTTATAAATATTAAGTTATGAAAGGACTTCTATGCAAAGAAAGAAAATAATAACTATAGGAATTGTCATGGGGCTTGCTGCAATTAGATATTTGTTAAGGAGATATGAATAAATGAAGGGGTCTCTATTTGTTTAGGGTTTGCGGACTTTTATGATTCTAGGTGTTTGGATTAATTTGTTATAAATGATTGAAAGGATATTTTGGGAATTTTACTACATTTTTGTATAAATACATATGTCTACATTTACTGTATTTTGTAAGTTGGGCTTAAAGATAAATACCCAAAGATATTTGGGTTTATGGATATATCAAATAGTAAATGGGTTTATAGGTAAAGATGGGTAAACATTTGGGCCTAGAAATAAAAAGCCCTTAAAAATAATAATAAGAGAAAGATAGCTTAAACCGCAATATATCAGAATAAAATGTGAAAAATACTTATTTTTTATCCAAAAGCTATGAAACAATTATGAAAAAATGACTGTGTTACTTTTTTGGAATTTCGTTAATATCAATGACATTTAAAATAAATAATAATTTCCCAAAACGTGAAAAAAATATGTTTACTAGTGGAAAAGATAAAAATAATAAAATGTAAAACAATTACTGTTATAGATTTTAAATAACTAAGTGTTAATCTTTCTTGAACTATCGACACGCGTCCCACTCCACGTCATATCAGACATGATCAGAGTCCAGACGACTCAAACCACTACTGTGACTGACTCCTAAAGCCGACAACTTACATGGCCAACTCGAAATGTGGTATTTGCCGACCTACCTATCAGATTGAGCCCACAAGCCTCCACACTCAACCCACTATCCCAGCCGACAATTCTCGAGGCCGACTAAAAGGGCGGTACTTCTCGGTCTACCCACCAGATCGATCTTATAAGCATTCGCACTCAGCCTACTGTTTCAGCCGGTAACTCGCGTAGCCGAGTAAAAAGGTGGTGTTAGTCGGGCCTCCACCAGACGACTGAAGAGTCGGTACTTCTCGCCCTTCTCACAAGGACTCGTCCCTTCTCGACAAGCAGCCCGACTCGTCCCTTCTCGCCAGGCCGAGTCGAAAGGCGGTCTTCTTTGAGCCCCCTGCCAACAGCCAATCACCATCACATTAAATACATGGTCAAAAATCATCATTACTCCAGCCCTAAAAGTCTTTATAACTCATCAGACTTCGTCAACACCAAACAGCTCCTGTTGCTTTGCTCTAACCACCTATCGCTTTGCACTAGCCACCTGGATAACCCATTTTCGCCAGCGACGAACACTTGTCAGCTGTTTGCCAAGTTAGTTGCCTGCCTAGACTCGGCTCAAGTAACCTATTTGCCCTTCTGATCCTCTATAAAAGAAAACCATGCAGCTCAAGCTAACACTCAGGGCCTTCCACACAACTTTGAGATTTTCTTCATCTCATATTTTTTCTCACTCAAGTTCATATACTGTCTTGATTGTTAGAGGAACAACCAGGGAATCCAACTCAGAACTCTTATGAGTTCTTATTGTATAGGGAAGAACAGTGACCTACAGAGCTAGCCATTTGAAGGAGTTTGAGTGCCCTAACTCTATTTTAATCCACAAATAAACGTCTTGTTTGATCGCTGACATCAACAGTTCAGCGCCCACTGTGGGGTCTGTCATTCTTCTTCGTACAAGATTTCTGGTTCTGAGCGTCCTGATTGAACTTTCAACCCACTCCATGAAGAATCGCATGCGGGCTATGTCACTCAGGCCTAGTTGGAAGAATCTACACAGTGGATCTCTCAGTCTCTCCAGCAATAATTTGTTGCTTTCACCAATGAGCTCCTCAGCCAAATTCCTCCCCAACAGCCTGCCACATCATTTGTTCCCCCACCTCCGATAGGGCAGCCCTTTTGTCCCTCCTCTGCTTGGGCACCCCGCATAGGCCGGACAACAAGGAGACCAAGCTAAGCACGCCTCTCTCCCACCTTGCCAGCAAACTAGCTTTATAGTCCCTCCTCGACAGCACTTGTAGTACATGGAAGCAACACAGGAGAGCCCAAAAGCTACAAATATGACAGCCAAGAGTATGCCACAGGGGCGGCATCACGTGATCTTCTGCGTCCTCATACTGCTCCAGGCCCCCCAACTACTTATCTTGCATTTGGTTATGACGAGACCTTTCAGCCAACCGCTGGGGCCATAGGGGGGAACACACCCCTCGCCCACAGAAACATGAGTGCTACTTGTGACAAATTCATTTTCAAGATGCCTCACATGGAGAAGTGCAAAGACGAAGGAGATCCAGCCGAGCATGCTCAGAATTATTATGATATGATGACCATGCTATAAGCACCAGAGCCGATCAATTGTAGGTGTTCCTCTATCACTTTGTCGGGAAGCACCAAATTATGGTGGAACCCCATACCCAAAAAGTCCATCAACAACTTTGAGTAGCTCAGCCAGAATTTTGTGCACCACTTTCTGGCTAATACCAAGCTGAAACTACCTCCCCATGTTCTGATACAGCTGAGGCAAGAGCCTAGAAAGAGCCTCAAGGACTATTTCAAGAGGTTCTAGACCAAACGACTGGAAGTCGATGATCCTGGTGGTGCGGTCACTATGTCTGTTGTCGTAGCCGGCTTGGAGAGCAATAAGCTGGCTGACTGGCTCATTAAGAAACGAGTCACCAACTATAAGCAGCTAATGACTAAAGCCTATGGGTACATGGGCATAGAAGGCACCCGAGCCTACAAGTAGGCAGCCAGGTCAGCTAAAGCAACAGCAATAACGACATTACCAGTGGCCGAGTCAGCGACAGGGGCCGACCCCTCACCAAATAGGAAATGGTAAAGGGTCCTTCTAGAACCGATCCCATCCCAAACATAGCTGACAAGAGGGATCAGAGGAAGGAGATTTCTAAGAAGCCCAGCTAGAGACATTGACATCTTTTCATGTCTAAGCCCAATGCACATAAAACTCCCCAAAGTAATCAAATTAATGATACTATCTTCAAACAAGATATTTTTTCCCTACCATATATCTATGTGCAGTTTTCATTGATTGCTTGTCATCGATTCAGCTAGCTTTGATAAAAAAGATTTTGGCATCTACTTAGGGTAAGACCAAGACACGTCATTAGCAAAAGTCCCTGGTACCCTCTCAGGGTAAAACCAAGGCACGCCTCTACTCAGTTGGTTTTGACAAAAAAAGAAATTGGTATCATTTTCATGAGAAAAAACGAGGCATATTATCGACCAAAAGATCTTGACACCTATTCAGGGTAAGACCAAGGAGCACCATCGACAAAAGCCCTTGGTACCTTCTCGGGGTAAAATCAAGGCACACATTGACTCGGTCGGCTTCGCCTGAAAAGATCTTAGCACCTGCTCAGGGTAAGATCAAGGCCGCCATCGACAAAAGGCCTTGGCATCGTTTTCATGTGCAAGACCAAAGCACATTATCAACTCGGTCGACTCTGATACCAAGACCTTGGCACCTGCTTAGTGTAAGACCAAGGCGCATCATCGACAAAAACCCTTGGTACCTGTTTGTGGAAAAATTTGCAGTAAAGGAAATGAAGAAAAATTAATTTGTATTCCTTTAATCTCGATTACAATTGGATTTCCTGATTACAAAAGAGAAGAGGATTGATGCAAATCCTCTCCTTTGTTTAAGTCTGGGTTCTTCACGGTGGCGATGGAGTGTCTCTCTCGAATGCTCGCGTCGAGTTTGCTCTCCGTTGACGATCTGCACGTCTTGATTCACTGGAACGGTATCTCTTCCTCACGATTTGACATTGTGGAGAACTTGCGTGATAAGTCTTAGAACTCTTGATGAGTTGATTGATCTTAACCGTAATTGGTTAGACAAGCCAATGATCTCTTCTTTGCTGTCCGGGGAGCAGGATCTAAAAGCCAGCCTCCAAAATCTAGCCCCAAAGATTCAGCCCTGAACTAAGTTGATTTCTTAGTTATTTATAGAGGATTAAGGGGTGTAACCGCCCCCTTAATTCGCTCCTATTAAATCACTCTTGAGTAGAGTTGTGATCTCCTCAGATCATGGGAAAACGGTTTTGAAACCGTTTAGCTCGTGTTTGAACGAGTCAAACGCAAATCCTGCATTCTGGAATGAAATCTGCGTTTGAACGCAGTGTTTGCGAGCTGCGTTGGGCAGCAGATGGAACCTGCGTTGGCAGCTATTAAAAACTGCGTTGGCAGCAGTTAGATGCTGTGTTGGGCAGCGGTTGGAAGCTGCGTTGGGCAGCGGTTGGAAGCTACGTTGGGCAGCGATTGGAAGCTGCATTTTGCAGTATTTAGGAGCTGCGTTTGCATAGCTTTGACTCTGGAATGAGACCATTTGTGCTTTACCTCTGGGATGCAGGGATGAGTTTTGCGTCTTGGATTGAAGAGATCGTCGATTTGTAGTCTCTTTCTGTCAGAGCGTTGCAAAGATCGTCATTTTGTAATCTTTGCTTTAGCTCTTTGATATGTGAGAGTCGTCAGATTGTAACTTCCGATGTTGATTGTGAAGGTTGTTGATTAGAGCTTTCATCGGTTATTGTGAAGGTCGTCAGATTGTAACATTCATCGATCTACGTAAAAGTCTTCAAATTGTAGCCTTCTAGAGGTCGGCAGATTATAACTTTCATCATCGGTGTTTAATGGGTATAGGCAATAAAAATTGCCTTTAAATCCTTATCAGAGAAGTTCAGAACAAAACTGCTAAAAACTCGCCCGAAATAGCAAAAAAAGGGGAAAACGCAGATATCTCCCAAACCGTAAGAAATTTGGAGAAACGGAGGAAGCGAACCGAAGCCTTTGTTCGGATGGCTCCATCTCGTCGAGATAGGCGATCCATGCTTATTCTTCGATCCATGCTATAGAGCTCGCCTAACGGCTTGAAGATCGCCTGCAGACCCAGGTTCGTTTGCAGTCC